AAGGATAATAATAAAGTTAATTTCGAAAATAAATAATTTGATACGATAAGAAAACTTACAAAAGTATTTATTTTTTGTTATGCATTTTTAGAATAAATTCTTCATATGTAAATAATATGGCATTTTTTGGGAATGATATAAGTCTATTAAAAATTATATGTTTTTGTTCTGAAATAATAATTGTTATACTGAATATTAATACATTCAAGAAAATATACTTTATATTAATATATCATATATATATATATATAAGTTATATATATATAATTTTTGTTAATATATTATATTACTAGACTGTATAAAATAAATAAAAATACAACGAACTATTTATAATTAAATGGTTATAAACATATTATTGGTTTGTATAAAAAGAGAGGTTTGGAAAAGTAGTGAACTACAAGAACAAAAATTATTTTTATATTATTTTAATTAATTGAGTTTTTGGCTAACCATACAATTGTTTCGAGTATAGCCAAATACCCATCATCAGTGGTCTTAGAAATAATTCTTGTATTTAATAATTTGTAAATAATTTTTGAGACTGCAAGTACCAGGAATCGAATTATAATTTCTGTTACACAAAAAACATTAAAAATAATATTTCTATTCCCCTCCTCCTTTTTTCATTTAATTAATTGCATTTTTTATAGCATTGAAAAATACATACAACTGTTTTAATTGCATAATTTTAGAGGAAAAAATTTGTATAAGTTGTTATTACCCTAAAACTATGCACTTACAAATTTTTTTTAAATTAATACATATATTTAGCAATATATTTACAAATCAGGATATATGTAGCGGAGGAGTATTTTATTTTTCCGAGTCAAAAAAAAGTTCTATGACTAGAAGTCTACAAGTCAACTGCTTTGTAGAAAAGATGCTCTTTTACAAGTAAGCCCACACTTACAATAGTTGTTCGACCGTTCATGTAACCATTTTTATTCTATGAAACCATTTATTATTGGCTCTCAAAAAGGTGTTATGAAAACCAGCATAGAGTTTTACGAAACAAGTTAATTAAAAATAGTAAAACTTAAATAGACATCAATAGATACTTTATAAGTAATAAAATGATTTTATCAGACATATAATCCTTTTCAAAAAAGTCTGTTATTAAGTCATAATATTAACTCTTTAGATATCTGTATGTCCGTATTGCAGAAAAAACTTTTAAATAATATATATCTATAATATATATCATATATATATATGAAGATATGGGGTTTAACTCCTTGAGACAAGTTGCTTATACGGTTGCACATAACTCTTTTTCTTGAAATTAAATATTTTTTCTGGAATAAAAAAATTTCTATCCGACCTTGTTAGATCAATGGTATTTGTTGAGTGTGCATAAATGACTTTAAGTCCTCGCTGTATAAACACAGTGTAGAGCTGTCAATTAAAAAAAATAATTATAAGGGTATTTTTTACGCACATATGTGAAGGTACAAATTCCTGGTGAGCCTTTCTCATGTCTTTAATCAAAGGACTTATAATCAGTGAACATGTGTTACTTTATGTGTATAATAAATAAAAAATGATTAGATATATATATAAGATATGTTGACTTTGATAGAGATACTTATCGCTTTTATAAAGATAGCTCGATAAAAAATCTCATTAATTCTTTTGTCAACTTATCTACTGTCATATTTTATTGAAACTGACACTAAGCTCAGCTTCTAAAAGAGTTCCACAACTACTATAATGTCAGCACATGAGAAAAAGTTGAATGAAATTATAAAGAGTATTTCAAGAAGATATATACCTTAATATTAAGACGATTGAATATACATTGAGAAGTTCAAACGAGATCAAAGTTTCATTGTTGTATTATATATTCCTAAAATATATTTACAACATTCAAATATATTTTATTGTTTAAAGGAATTATTTAATAAATTTGTAAAATAAAAATTTTTTAAAAATGTGTTGATATTAAATATATCCTCAAACAATGTATGAAAGTAAAATTTGAAAATTTTGTAAAATAACATTTTATTATTTCGTTTTGTATTATTTAAAATACAATTCGTGTGCTTCCGTCTTCCCCCTGAAATTTAATATTGTTGCCAACTTGAAGTTTAAAATTTTGCAACCAGCATTTTTCAATATTAAATTTTTAGCTTCACTGAGCACAAAACCAGGACGAAAAGGAGAACGATTGCTAAGGGATACGAAGTAAATACCCAAGTTGGCTTATGGCAGAGGTAAATACTTTGAAAATGACGTTGCTATCAAAGGCACTTAACGGATGGGACAACTCAATTTTAATATACATTTAAGGACATTTGAGGCTATTACGACAAATTAGTTTTCGTAACTGAAAGCAATTTTTAAGGGAACTGATTAAAGTGTATTAAATCTAAATTAGATAAGGTAAAGAAGATAAGACAGTAATTAGTAACTTATAAAAAGTATAATATATTTCAACAAATTATTATTAAATGTAATATTACTCATTTATATTCATTATGTGTTAAAAAGACGTATTTATGAAAAAATTTTTTATTAAATGATAATATTCTTTCAGATTATTTTCTTTATAATATACTATGTATATATATATTTTTTTTCTTTATAATATATAAATATATTTTTTTTTTATTATATGTACATCTATTTTTTTCTTTATATTGTTATTCTATTTTTTTCTTTATTATATGTAAGTCTATTTTTTTTTCTTTATTATATATATATATTTTTAATTTCCCCTAGTTTCAGGATGTCGAGATTTGCCAAGTAGACTTTTCTTTTTTATTTCGCTTCGGTCAATTGATTTTCAATAGAAATGCAGAGCTTGGTTGAATGATTTTCTATTATTTCGAGTCAATAGTACAAAAATGGATAGTTGCTGAATTTGTATCTTTTTTTTCATGAAACAAGAGATTTATGTATTGCTTTTCTAGAAAATTTTGCTGTTCATTAAAATGAAAAATTTTCGAGTATATTGTTTTGCCTGACTATAGAGAAGAGATAAAAAACAATGTTAAATTAAAAAAAAACAGCATACGAAAGATTTAAAAAACAGCTGGTCTTCCAACATGTGAATAAGTGTTAAATTTATAAAATAATTATTATTAAAAAATAAAATAAATAATTTTAATTGGTATAACTTGTACCATACCTTAACAATACATGGAACTCAACAAAATAAGTCCCGACTTAAACCGAATGAGACTTCTATTCGCTTTCTTTATTACGTTTCTGTCTTGATACAGATCAGAAGCTAAATACTGAATTAAGAACAGCCTACGCTGTCTGTTATTAAAATATTTTCTACCTGAGACACAATGGTCTTTACTCGAACGTCTTAGTATCATTGCTTCGGTTATAGTTAGTTATAGCGCAACATACCTATGATAGTAGTAGTACTGTTCTTCAATTGGAGCCTTGTTAATATTTTATTCTATATTATCTTTACTCCTTATAGTGGGAGCTGCTAACTGTACAAAATTAGAAAGTTCTTATAAAGAAGTATATTTGGCTTTTATATGAGATTTCATAGATTAACAAATTTTTTGATTTAGTTATGATTAGATATGGTTATGATAGTTATGGGTGTATAACACAAAGGCATATTGTGATAGCAGTGGTGTGCTCGATTGG